CTTCTTACTTCATATTTCATGGGCGTCAAACTGGATAGTGAGTGGAATCTACTTAACATGAATGAAAACTGCAGTAAACAAACATTTATATTTAGTAGCATGAGGAAGAAGGGTTAGAACTTCTATCAGGTTTGAACGTCTGCCTGTGTCCCACCAAAGAGATTTCCCCTCCCTACATGTCCAGATGACAACTATCAAACAAAACAAGTAATTTGAAATCTTTGACAGGCAACAGTCAATTGATTCCTCCTGAACATATCATAGCAGAGCAGATCTGAAACAAGTTCCAAAGAAAAGCTGTGCTACTGTATGCTATCTGTATCTTAAAGTCATAATGGTGGGGGCGACACAGGCAATAAAATATTTTTTGCCTGGAGTAATTTTTTAAAGTGTCAGTACTATTTCAGTTATAGTCAGCCCCTAACTTCCTATGGTATTTGGATACTCCAGCAGTGAGAACTCTTTGCCATAATTCCTGGTTATTTTTCTGTCCACCTAGGAAATTGCATTCCAGCTCTTTGCTTTACATTCGCCATAACAAAAAAGTATATACATAAAAAATACAGCAGACTGAGTGGGTACCTCTCATAATGGCCACAGCAGGTGTACGGACCTGGGAACTCAGCACAGAAATCTCGCCAACATCTGAGAGATAAAATACATTGTCAGGTGGTTTGACTCTAAAGCAGGGGGCAACCTTGGCACTCCAGCTGTTTTAGGACTACAAGCCCCATGAAGCATTGCAAGACTGACAGCCCCAGGCATGACTCCCAGGGCCAAAGGTATGATGGAATTTGTAGCTCTAGCACAGCCATGGTGCCAAGTTTGCCTACTCCTCCTCTACTAAACTTTGAAATATCTTTATCAATTTTTAAGGTGGACTGTCCCTTTAAAAAAAAAAAAAATAAATTATGCAGTAATCAATCTTTCTGGAGTCTAACCTTTGTTGGCTCAGAAAAGTCATGAACAAGTCATACCTTCTGCTTTGTTGACAAACTGCTAGGGAAAGTGATGCTTCAGAGGATTTTAAGATTGCAACGATCAACCTGTAACCTGAAGCCAATGCTTTCCTGCCTATCAGGATGAAAAATTGATTGACTTCCTCATTCTTTACTGTCAGGAGCAGTCAAGGCCATAGACTGTCCCGTCAGCTTATAGCACGGTACCTCATTCCTGGGCTGGCTTGTCTCGGATGATGTCTTTGGGATAGGCCCACAGTATGCTATAGCAGGGGGGATTATTCAGAGGAGAGCTTTGGGCCACCTGAGATAACTCTCACTACGATTTTTCAATACCTGCTTTTTCCATACGAGATAGGAAAACAAAGCTACATTCCACATAGGGTTAACAGGTAAAAAAAAGAGAGCCAGTTGAAGTTTTGGTATTTTTGTGAGCAGCCTGTGATCCGGAGAGACGGAGCTTTGGAGATTGACAGGCGGCAGATAAGGATCGCTTGGCCCACCTAAGTTTGTGGATAATTCGGCCTGTTGAGAATACTTCCAGTGCGAGTTCTATACATGTTACTTGGGCTTAGATTCACACATGCTTTGTCTGAAGCCAATTATAGGAAGAGACTAGAACACCCAAAGTAAAACTGCAATGATGCAGGGAAAATATACAAACTCCTTGTACATAATGTCTCTGGTGGAAAATGAAACGCCAAACCCCAGCAATGAAAAGACAGTGCTAGACACAAAAGCATAAACGTTGTACTAACAACCTCCATTTTCCTGTTACAACGGTTATGGTGAGTGTTTAAATTTCCATACGCCATATAAAGGCCCACTGCTCTCACTTATGCACACAGGCCTGGTCAGACATGCCCCCCTCCCCTTCTATGCAGTACAAGTGTGAGGACACGTGCTGAGGGGTGTGACTATTACTCAGCTCAGCCAGTATAGCGCACTGGCATGTGAAAACAGAAAGCAGCATTTTCAATTGGAAAAAAAGGATACTATAATCCATTACCTTAAGATTTGATTTGGTGATTTTGGTGTGAAGGAAGTCAAGTGGCCTTTAAAGAACCCTGAGCTCAACCCTTTTGAACACCCCTGACGTCAAGTGGAACTCTGACTGTGAGCCAGGCCTAATCATCCAACATCAGTACCTGACCTTGCAAATGCTATTTAGGCTGAATGGGCACAAATTTCCACAGACATCTTCAAAATACTTGTGGAGAGCCTTCCCAGAAGGGAGGAGACAGCCACAAAAGGGAGCAAATGTCCATGGTTTTGGAATAAAATATCCAGTAAGCTCAGATGTTCACAGACGTTAGGCCATATAGTTTATTTACTTATTTCCTGCTGTGATATCACAGACCACATAGACCCAGTCAGACCAGTCCCTCCCTGCAAAGGAGCTTATAATCTAATGTCGCTGCAAGACTCATACATTGTTTTTTTTTCTCTTCGATTTGCGTGGGAAAACCACAGCACTGAGGATTGACAAGGCATGCTGTGGTTTGTAGTTCTTACTCATTGGTCAGAGGGTGTCCGGTGGCCTAAGGCTACGTCGGATCACAATTGATAGCAGAGTTTTATCAGGACTGACTCCTGCCAAGTGCTCCGCACACGTCACCAGCGCCTTAAATCTATAGCTCTCAGCACCTTTCACTAAAGATGTCAGTTGTCACCCGCCAAGTTACACAGAGAATATGAAATATGTAGCCCCTTCCCCCAGCTTATACAAATACCTCAGCTCTGAGTCCCGTCTCTGCTCACATAACCTGCACAAAAATGTCAATATTTCAGGTGAGTGCGCGTGCTACAACAAGAGCAACGGAGCTTATGGAGTAAGAAGAGGCGTTTTTTTTTCTATCGAAGAACTTAACACAGTTAAAGTGTACGTATGTAACGTAAAACATTGTGTTTAGTTTAGATAGAGTAGGCAAGGTTTAGACCCTGTGTCAGCTTTTTATTGCTGCTTGTAACCCTGATTACGGAGATTTGCCATCACATTCTGAAACAATTCATCCCCTCACAGCTACCTCCTCATGTATCACTGGCCCCTCCCTTTTAGATTGTAAGCCTTCACGGGCAGGGCCCTACATACCACCATACTTGAATTGTATTGTAATCATAATGTTTTCCTTATATTGTAAAGCGCTGCACAAACTGTTGGCGCTATATAAATCCTGTTTAATAATAATAATAGTTTGCCCTTTTTATGTGTCCTAATCACTATTGTCACTGGGACAGAAAGTGAGGGGAAATAGAAACATTTTGAGCTGCCAACAAAGCATGAGATGAGGACATCTGTTCCTGTGACAACTCTCTAAGTGATTTCCCTAACTTTGGAGAGTTTTGTTCTCATTTCCTGTTGGTATTACAGGACAGGAAGTTAAGGGAATCTTCCTAGCAGGGCAGAGGCAGCAAAAAAAAAATTACATTTTCCTTAGAAAAATAAATATAGCATATGTATAATTGTTACACAAGCCATTTTGTAATTTGTTGTTTTAATTTACAGGGCTATTCACAAAAGGGTGAAGAGTTTGGAGAAGACAGGAGATGTGAACAATCTAGGACAACATAGCTGATTTGGAAACATTCTCCAGTTCAGCTCCCTTTCCAGTTCAGCTATGTTGTCCTAGATTGTTCACTTCTCCGGTCTTCTCCAAACTCTTCACCCTTTTGTGAAAAACCCTGACAATGTTATTCAAAATCAACTTGCCATTGTTTCCAGCCACTCATTTTCTAAAACTGTCAAAAAATATAAATTTAGTATGATAGCCTGGAGGTGTTCTGTACACCTATGGTGCGTAGAATGCCCCCAGAAAGTTCCTTACTTGCTTGTGTGATTGGCTCACTGATTTTCTCAGAAGAATGCTGGTTAAGACCCTTAAGGTCTGTCTACTAAATGGATGCAGACCCTGCAACCTTTCTCACTAGTACACATACGGATTAATTCGCACAGCATGACATTGGTATGGCACCGTTAGATGGCGCCAAGGAGTATAGAAATTTCCTATACTCCTCAGCCCCATCAAGGGGCACTAGTGCCATCTAGGGAGACTAGTGCCATGTGAATGGTTCCCATCTAACTATAAGCTGGGTGGAGGTTTTATAAATAAAAGTGAACCAGATAGCTATAATGAGTTTAGACCCTCTGATTCAGAAATAAGTGTGGAAAGGACACTGTGAAACAAACAGCTATTTTATCTAAACAGAAAAAGGAATCTGCAACAGTTTGTTAAGATCCTTACAGTGTACATAGATCACTTTGATAGCATCTTATAGGCAGCAGGTATGGAAAGTACTTACAATTTCCCAGATGCATGCTGAAGATATGTGTTACAGTACCCCGACAACTTTTTATATTCATTTCTCTGTCAGGACCTTTTTTTTCCCCAGAAATCTATTAGCAGATAAAGAAAAACTTCCAAAGAGCTCTAACAGCTTTTATGAAAGTATAAAGAGACTATTATAATATCTATTCACTTTGCTGTCACACAGACCCTGTTTATTGTTCACCCTTGTGCTATCCACAGTCACACAACCCGGCCCTGTACAAGTCTAATCATTTTAGATTGTAAGCTCTCACGGGCAGGGTCCTCCTTACCATCTTGTCTTGATTTCTATTGTAACTGTAATGTCTTCCTTCTTTAATAATATTAATAATAATAGTCAAAATCTGCTCGGTTAAAAAAATTAAATAAAACAATTTGAACGCAAAGTTTAAGACCCCTTTTATCGAGAGCTCAGTAGCATGAGAAATAGTTAGAAAAACAACATATACAAGATTTATGGTAAGTCAGACATCTCTAAGCTTAACATTTAGTAGAGAATTAAGACACAAACTACCCGTTAGTGCTCTGAATTTGTTCATACTATTAAAACATAAATTAATAATAATAGTTTTCTTTTTTTTTTATGTCCAGTTATTCCAGTGTGACTGGCAGGTGAAACAAATTGTAGTTGTATTCAATAGCTGAGACTATTGAAAAAAGTTTTGTTCGGTTGGTCCCTTTGTTGTAGTCCTACGACCCTCCTCGTGTGTGGATATTTTTTTTTATTTTATTCTCCTCTGCGTGACGTACATTTTATAAATAACTACACGAAAACCCTCCAGCGTGTAAAGGTGCCATTCTCCCGACGGAACAGCCAATGGTTAACGAAAGAAACGTTTCCCCCTCCCTGCCTGTAAGGGTGTAATTTTCTTTAGAAAAAGAAAATCAAGTGTGCAAAATGGAGCCACAGTGGTCCTGCTTTAGGTTTCCTGGTAGGTTGCGTTACTTGCAAGTGAAAACCTCTGTCCTTTCACTGCATGTGTTGCACTTGACGAAACAGCACCAGTGAAATTTACAGTTGCACTGCCAAACTTTGGTGTACTGGTGGGTGTTGTACCCTCGGCCGCAACACATAAGATTGCAGCTGTCCACGTGTGGAGAGGTGCGGTTACACAGCCGCCCTTGAGTCCCCACGCTACCGGTGGCACTGTCTTCTTCGCAGTAGTTCGGAGATCGCTCAATGTAGACCAGGTCTGTCTCTATGGGCTTTTGGTAGTTTTTGATCTTTTTGATCTTGAGGAAGGTGGGCTGACGGAGCCGGTTGGCCCGCACCACTTCCACATGCACTGCGTCGTTGTACTTCTCTTTTAAAATGAAGCCGATGTCCCGGAATTTGGGCAAAGTGTTCCAGCAGGTCTTTGTGGTACAGGAGCCTGACACTCCGTGGCACTTGCATTCCAGTTTCATCTGCTCTTCGAGTATCTGGTTGTTAAAGAAAAAAAGATATATTATTATATGCAAATGCAATAAAATACCTGAAGCACAACCGAAAATGTATTCTGTTACTTAGGGAGTAGTGATGTCACTCAAATGAAATAGAGCTAAACCTAAACACATACACTGATGTTGATGGAATTTCAAAAGTCGTTTTCATTCACTTTAACCAGTTGACATCCGCGGTGTTAAACCCCCTTCCCATCCAGGCCATTTTTCAGTATTCAGCGCTGCGGTACTTTAACTGACATTTATTCCGTCATGCAGCGCTGTACTGAAATGAATTTTATACCCTTTTTTGGGGACAGATAGAGCTTTCTTTTGGTGGTATTTATTCACCACTGGGGGTTTTATTTTTTTACTATATTAAGGAAAAATTACCGAAATTTAAAAAAAAAAACAGTTTCCCCTATATTAAATGATAAAACATTTATTATTACCCAATTTTTTGGTAAAATATAAAAGATGGGGTCACGTCGGGTAAAAAGACACTAAACATGTCAAGCCTTAAAATTGCGTGCGCGCGCGAAACCTCAAAAAACGATAATACCCAAAATTGGCCCTAGGCGACGCTTTAAAAGCTGTTACCGCTCATCAGTTTAGTGTTATCAGTGATTGATGGCCCTAAAATGATTGCTCTCACTGCGACGTTCGCGGCGATATGTAACATGTGTAGCGCAATTGTAATTTTTGCGCGCTGGGGCACCGGACGCGTATTTACGTTTATAGGCGCGTAAACGTGGGGGTGGGGGAGTTAAACATTTTGGGGGGGTTTTTTCCCCTTTTTTATATGTGGCTTTTATTTTATTTTATTTTTTTATGTGTTACTTTTCTTTTTTTTTATTTATATTTTTTTTTTGCACTTATTGTTATTGCTATTATATAGGGGGATAACAACCCCCTATATAATAGCAAAGGCACACTGACAGGTCCTCTTTATGGAGATATTAGGGGTCTCTCTCCAGCTTCTTCTCTCTCCAGATGACTGACAGGTGAATGCGGAAGTGATGTAACACACATCACTTCTGCATTCACAGCCCGGACGGGGATCAGCAAGGAGCTGATCTCCCGTCCTCCTCCTCCTTTTTTTCATCAGTTGAACCGTCAGGAGAAAACACCCGGCACTTCTGGTTATGGAAGAGCATGTGACTCACTCCATAATGACTCCACTAGTACTTGGTCTCTGCCCCATCACTTCCTCTACACCTTATATACATGCAGCAGCTTTGTACCGATTTATTTCCGTTTGAAAAAAATATATTTTTTCAGGTAGCTTTAGCCTAAATAGTGTATGCCTAACTTTTTCAAAAATATAATTTTATTGTAGTTTAACATGAGAGCGTGGACAAAAGGATTAACATGCAAAGACAATAACCCCCAGTAGCGTGCAGGTGTCAGGGGTAAAAAAAACATCTCCTCTAGTTGTGGAATACATAAAACACCTATGAAATTCCTGTTAACAGCAAAGGTCAACAAAGCAGTAGACGCTAACCAGTATTTGGGGGTAGAATGAAAAAAAGTTGTATATATGACGCTACCCCCTCCAACCACATCCAACAAGCGGTTAGAAAAATAGATATAGAGGAAAGAAAAAAGGCAGAGGAAAGAACTAAGGAAAGGAAAAAGAGAAAAAAGTAAAGGGTGAGAAAACAACAGGGAGTAGGGGAAATGTGAAGCTCCTGCTGACATGTAACTCAGGACAAAGACAAAAGTGTATGCCTAACTTTTATTTTATCTATGAGGATAGGTGCATTAAAAGTGAGAGATAAATTGTTAAGTGGCTTTGGTGAAAACTTTTGCACTTAGTTTTTTTCTATTCAAGCAATGCAGAGGTGTTCTGCAAACAAAAGGCAGCTCAAAGAACAAGAGAATGCTCTGCTTTAAGCCCCCCAAACATAAAAAGGCCCTTATCACCATAGAATAAAAGTTGTAAGAAAACACAACAGAAATTAAAACCACCAAAATACAACCCCCAAAACTAAATTTTGTTTAAAGGAAAGCCTTGCAGCATAAAAAAGCAGTTCAACCTAAACCAAAGGCTCTATCAACCTAAAATATTATAACCAAGATAAAACCAGTATACTCCCAAAATAATTGAAAACCTCAAATAATACCCCCTGAAACAAAGACCCATTATTTTAAATGGAAATCTTACAGCAAAAAAAATGTTTGCTATAGATGGGACAGCAGCTAAAAGTAACTGCTGACCTCAAATCACCTACAAATTAAAATGAAAGACAAAAAAGTTCCAATAGGAAAACAAAAAAAGGAAAAAGGGCAGCAATGGGTTTTATTGTCCAAAGAGCTAACAATCAGAGTGAAAGTATAATTTACCCCTAATCAAAAGGGTTGGGGAATGTCTGCAGTGTGCCCCTGCTGCCCCTTTTCCTGCCAGGGCCATACATATCTCCCCGTCCAGCTCACCAGCAAAACCCCAGGTGAAAAGGCTAGGGATGCCGTAATCTCTCCCTGTGCAGTTTATCAGCTTTCCCTACAGCAGCTTCCAATCCATTGACACCAAAATTTGCAGGGATTGTGATTTGCAAACCTGTAGGATTCACCTAAAACCCATGGTAGTGGCAAACCTGAATCTCATTCCTATTCCTCTTGAATGCAGTGCAGGTGAAATCTCATGAGAATACACTCCAGTCCATTTCAAGAGCATACTCCTGTGGGATTTCAGCTGCTCTGTATTCCCCAAGAAGGTGTGATGTCACTCTTACTTAGGCATCGGGCAGGAAATGGGGATACGGTAAGTATAAATCTAAGTGCCAGCAGAGGATGATGCTGCTGGGAATTGGAAAGGGAGGGTGGCCTATCAGTTGCATTACAGAGTCCTGAGTTTATTGCATTGCAGTCCTGAGTCCGTTACTTTGCAGTGTCCTGGGTCCGTTGCTTTGCAGAGTCCTGAATTTATAGTGTTGGAGAGTCCTGAGTTTATTGCCTTTCTGAGTCACAAGTTTGTTGCCTTGCAGAGTCCTAAATCCATTGCATTGCAGAGTCCTGAGTTTACTGCATTTCAAAGTCCTGAGTTTATTGCATTGCAGAGTCCTGAGTTGATTGTGTTACAGAGTCCTGAGTTTATTGTGTTGCAGAGTCCTGAGTTGATTGTGTTACAGAGTCCTGAGTTTATTGTGTTGCAGAGTCCTGAGTCCATTGTGTTGCAGAGTCCTGAGTCCATTGTGTTGCAGAGTCCTGAGTCCATTGTGTTGCAGAGTCCTGAGTCCATTGTGTTGCAGAGTCCTGAGTCCATTGTGTTGCAGAGTCCTGAGTCCATTGTGTTGCAGAGTCCTGAGTCCATTG